GCAACATCAAGATGACTCTATTCTGGTTGCTTTTGCTCACAGAGTGCCCTCTTTTTCTGTCATTTTGACGCCATCTCTGATTTGGTCCTGTCTGACATCTCTGCTCTCTGCTCCAGATTCCCTTTGCCCGTATGCCAATGGGGATCATGCCAGAGATCATATCTGAGAAAGCAAGACCCAGTTTTGTTTGCGTGTGTCTCTGTTGTTGGTGAGTGCTGGTTGTGTTACTGTATATAATTGTATATTGGTACTCTCGAGTGTCACAACTACCTTTTGGAGTGGTTGCCTTTTAAAACATGACTTTTGATGGCATTTGACTGTTAGACTTCGTGGAGGCATAACGCTGCTAGTTGACACAGAAAAGACTGTGTCTCCCTGTGGACAGATCACTGGCTGCCATGGGGGTGTGTCTACGTGACACCTTCAGCCTGGAAGACCCTCAAAGGCAAGAATTCAAGAAAATGTATGATGAATCTCCGTGTTGCCATCTGCCAAAAACAGAATGGGCACAAAGAACTTGAGCATTGATCCCATCTCAGCACCTTAGCTGAGTTCCCTACATTTCTGGATAATGATGGAAGGACTTGTCCATTGGGGTGGAGAACCATGAAAGGGTGAATCGAGGGTGTGGCTGACCTGTGGTGCTTTTTGGAGGAGTGAATAAAGATGAGTAGAAATGCCATTCTGTGTCTGTTCTTTTGGGATTTTAACTGGAGCCGGAAGCCTGGACTTGTGGGTCTAAGGGAGGAGGGAGCCAAGGCTGGGGACTCCTGGGTCCTGGAAGGGGAAGGACAGTGGGGGTTCTGTACAGGAAAGCTTCCCTTGGGCTGGAATCAAGAGACTATCTGGCCCGGCCAGCATGGCTCAGTGGTTGACCATCGACCTATGAACCATCAAAGCTCTCAGTTTGGGGGGAATACAATTCTACTAGTATAGCTCTAGGACCAGACAGTCCTGCTTACTTTGGGGATGACCTGGGGCAAGTCATTCCACAAATGGTATCTACCTTGCAGGGTTATTGTGAGAATTCAGTGTATATGTAGGTACATGCATTTTCTCTCACATGTCAACTTTTTAAAGAGAGGGACTATCTGTATCTGAGTTTTGCCTCCCTGGGGTTGGGGTGGACAAGTGACTGTTTTGACCTTTGTTGGGGCTTGTGATGGTAAAGTATCTTAAATCGAACCTGCTTGGTCCATTAATGCCTCCAATTTGTTCAGCCTCTCTGTAGCCATGCCCTTGGATAGTCCCTTCTCATTCTGACTCCAAACCTGGCCACGTGACAATAGGAAACATGATGCGAGCAGAGGCTTGGGAAGTGCAACAGGAAACCTCGGATAATCTGCTGGGTCATAAGAGATGTGGCCCAGCCCTAGCCGGTTTGGTCAGTGGATAGAGCGTCGGCCTGTGGACTGAAGGGTTCCAGGTTTGATTCTGGTCAAGGGCACGTGCCTGGGTTGCGGGCTCAATCCCCAGTAGGGGGCATGCAGAAGGCAGCCTGTCAGTGATTCTCATCATTGATGTTTCCATCTCTCCCTCTCCCTTCCTCTCTGAAATCAAAAATATATTTTAAAAAAAAAAGAGAGAGATGTGGCCCAGTCAGCCTTGACAGCCCAATCCACAGCCTGACAACCCTCCAAAACAGAGCTGCCTAGCTGGCAGGCAAATGAACCCAGCAGGGACCAGCTGAAGAACCACCCAACTGATCCCAGACCAAATTGCTGACCCATAAAACTATGAGCAAAATTAAAGGTGATTGTTCTAAGGCACTGAATTTTAAATATATATTTTATGGATTTTTTACAGAGAAGAAGGGAGAGGGATAGAGAGTTAGAAACATCTATGAGAGAGAAACATCGATCAGCTGCCTCCTGCACACTCCCCACGGGGGATGTGCCCGCAACCAAGGTACATGCCCTTGACCGGAATCGAACCTGGGACCCTTGAGTCCGCAGGCCAACGCTCTATCTGCTGAGCTAAACCGGTTAGGGCAAAGCACTGAATTTTAGATTGGTTTATTACACAGTAAACGATAGCTAATACAGGCTTGTTCCTTCTCTCTGTGACGTGGTCTCTTTCCCCCCCCTCAACATGACCAATCAAATAAAATCTTAAGCTCTGCCACTTTTTACCTGTGTGAACGCCAATGTGACATCCCTCTGAGCCTCAAATTCTTTTCCTGAAAACAGGAATGAGAATAATAGTACCTCTCACGTGAAGTTGTGAAGATGAGAAAGTGCCCCTAAGAGCCCAGAGTGGCCACTGATGCTGTCTCTTATGAAACGTGTCCATGTCACAGGATAGGGTTGCACTCCTGGTCCCTATGGGGTTTGGTGGGGCCATGTGACCAGCTCCATCTGAAGAGTTGTGTCAAGTCATTTCTGAGTCACGGCATTTAACCACCCATGTGAGACTTTCCTGTGCACAGAGATGGGCAGTGTTCAAGTTGGTGGCTGCCTTAGGATGATAAGCAGAACACCTGTGGGTGGTGCCAAACACAACACGTAGGTGACAGAAGAATCAAACTCTTGTGAGTGGGTGCTTGTTCAACACATACCATTCCTCTCCCTCCCACTGGAGGGGAGGATACATCCCTGCTCCCTGAAGGTTGGCTTTGACCGTTTGATCTACTTTACTCGGTGAAATGTTAGCAGACCTGACCTCGGCAGGCGCTTTCAGTGCACTTGGCTTTTGTGCTCCTGTGACCTGCCAGGGAGCCACTAATCCCAGAGGTTTGTGGAACCCCAAAGAGGAGAACTTGAATCCTCCCGAAACTAGAGCCAAATCAGCCAAAGCGTGACCAGGAGCAGAGCCACCTCAGCCTCCCACAAACCCTTCAGAAAGAAGAATGCTTATTGTTATGTCTGGTTTGAGATGCTTTGTTACACAGCATGCCTGCACATGAGTTGACTAATACCACTTTGTTGTTTTAAACCAATAAGATTAGGGGCTTCTTTGTTACTGTAGCATAATCTAGCCTGGGCAGGCAAATGAACCCAGCAGGGACCAGCTGAAGAACCACCCAACTGATCCCAGACCAAATTGCTGACCCATAAAACCATGAGCAAAATTAAAGGTGATTGTTCTAAGCCACTGAATTTTAGATGGGTTTATGACACAGTAAACGATAGCTAATACAGGCTTGTTCCTTTTCTCTGTGACGTGGTCTCTTTCCCCCCCTCAACATGACCAATCAAATAAAATCTTAAGCTCTGCCACTTTTTACCTGTGTGAACGCCAATGTGACATCCCTCTGAGCCTCAAATTCTTTTCCTGAAAACAGGAATGAGAATAATAGTACCTCTCACGTGAAGTTGTGAAGATGAGAAAGTGCCCCTAAGAGCCCAGAGTGGCCACTGATGCTGTCTCTTATGAAACGTGTCCATGTCACAGGATAGGGTTGCACTCCTGGTCCCTATGGGGTTTGGTGGGGCCATGTGACCAGCTCCATCTGAAGAGTTGTGTCAAGTCATTTCTGAGTCACGGCATTTAACCACCCATGTGAGACTTTCCTGTGCACAGAGATGGGCAGTGTTCAAGTTGGTGGCTGCCTTAGGATGATAAGCAGAACACCTGTGGGTGGTGCCAAACACAACACGTAGGTGACAGAAGAATCAAACTCTTGTGAGTGGGTGCTTGTTCAACACATACCATTCCTCTCCCTCCCACTGGAGGGGAGGATACATCCCTGCTCCCTGAAGGTTGGCTTTGACCGTTTGATCTACTTTACTCGGTGAAATGTTAGCAGATCTGACCTCGGCAGGCGCTTTCAGTGCACTTGGCTTTTGTGCTCCTGTAACCTGCCAGGGAGCCACTAATCCCAGAGGTTTGTGGAACCCCAAAGAGGAGAACTTGAATCCTCCTGAAACTAGAGCCAAATCAGCCAAAGCGTGACCAGGAGCAGAGCCACCTCAGCCTCCCACAAACCCTTCAGAAAGAAGAATGCTTATTGTTATGTCTGGTTTGAGATGCTTTGTTACACAGCATGCCTGCACATGAGTTGACTAATACCACTTTGTTGTTTTAAACCAATAAGATTAGGGGCTTCTTTGTTACTGTAGCATAATCTAGCCTGTCCTGATCAAGGACAACGTTTAGCACCTGCAGACTAATGGCCATTCAGTAAGTGGCAGCCATTATGATGATTGCTACTTACTCAGGCATATTATCTCTAGAAGCAACACTGCCTGAAAGGTGCTGGGCACTGCACTAAGTATTCTTTTTAGTTATTATTATTATTATTATTATTATTATTATTTTATTTCACTCTTACAACTCTATGAGGTTATAACTATTAATATCCACATTTTGCTGACATGAAAGGCAAAAAGAGGGCAAGCTTACTCAGAAGTGATCATGACTCTGATCCTCCCTAGGGGTTGACCCAAGGCAAATGACACCCTAATCTGTGACTCAGTTTGTTTATCTGTAAAATGGGGATAATAATATCAATGGTAGAGTTGCTGTGATTATGAAATGAAGTACAGTATGGAAAACATTTAGCACAGGGACTCAGCACGGAGGAACCCCTTAATGAAAGTAGGGTTTCCCCCCCCCTCTCTCTACAACACACCTCCCTGCGATGCATCATGTTACAAAGACTCAGGCTTGCTCAGTTAATCTGTTTAATTGTAGGCACACAGGGAGCTGCAGGCTGAGGACAGATGGGGACCTCAAGCCACCCCTTCCTCAGTTCTTCACTCGCCCCTGCCAGAGATCTGGGGGGCTGGAAGGCAGTCTGCTCTGCGGAGGAAGTAGAGATAGGAGGCTGAGGGCACCTCAGCGCCAGGCTTGGTATTGCAGGCACTCTCTGTGGCACAGCCTCGAGTGGCAAACCTGGTGTTGATGATACCTGGGAGGGGGGTTTCAGAATGGAGTCAGGGCCCCCAACCGCTCCTTCCTCACCACCTAGAAATCTTGGTCCTGCCACCTCCACACCCAGTTCTCTGGGGCCACCATCTCCCCTAAAACCTGGAAGCATTGGCTTCCTCCAGTTCTGGGGCCCCTGTGCCCTCCTTCCGAGATCCAGCTGCCCCTCACCAGCCTGCACTTTGCCAGCGAAGTAGATGCAGTGGGTTTCCTGGCCGACACAGCGGGCTGCCTGGGTCCCTGGGCACGTCTCCTGGAAGGGTACGATGCAGGCGGGACACTGGAGGCCATTCTCAGTACGGTTGTTCTGGGGAGCTGGGAGGAGGGTGGAGTACAAGGTACAAAGAGATGTTTAGGAAGCCCTCCCCCGCAATCTGACAATAACCCCGAGGGACAGCGGTTATGGACCCTGCATTTACAGGAGCAGAAACAGGCTCAAGCAAGGTGCTTGCCCATTGTTACAGCGCACAGATGAGTGGTGGGCGAGGGCACACACACAGGCTGGAAGAGACTCATGAGGCCGGGGTGAGCTGGCACTTACGGGGCACCGAGCCCTGATTGCAGCCGTCACTCTGGCAGCAGTGCGTGTTGGACACCATGTAGTCCTTGGGGCCCATGGTGGTGGACACGAAACCCGAGTAGCAGTCGCTGAACTTCATGCAGGCCTTGTAGCTGTTCACGGAGTGGTGGCCCTCTGAGGGATGGGGACAGGAGGGGAGGGCTTGGGTAGTGTTGACCCTGCCTGGGGCCTCTCCCAACCCCACCGCTTCCCCACCCCATGACTGTCTAGGATGGTCTTTTCCAGCCCCCTAAAGCCATACCCCCTTATCTACCTGGGTGCAGTGTGGAGTGGTTTATTAGGTAGCTCTCCCCACCCCCACCTCATTACCGTAGCCCCTAGCCAACCTTTGGTGGTCACTTGCTGTTCCCCATTGCCAAGCCCAGGCCTGCCTAACGAGGAGGTCCTTCCCACCTCCCTCCCCACCATGGCCACCCCCTAAAGGCCCTGTGGATAGTGCTTTTCCGGGTCATCTATAGCTACACTATGCCTGCATGAGATGCTCTCTTCCGGCCTTCACAGGCTTGGGAGCCATCTTCAACAAACGGTGGGGTGCCGGCCCCCACACCACCGCCCTGAAACGTCCACATCCCTCTCTAAGCGTCTCCTCCAGGTTTCCTCACGGTCACTCCCCAGACCTCCAACTGAGGGCCTCCTGCCACCCGCTTTGGCTACCCCCAGATCGTGCCTTAAGTGGTCTCCTCCAGTCTCCACTGCCTTCCCCCGCCCCAATCCCAAGGTGTCCCCCTCTTCACTTCACCAAAGGGTGGCTTTCCCCCCTCAGCTTCCTCTCCCCACACCTCCACCCCCGGGGTCTGTAGCTCCCTCCTATATGGGGTGGTAGGTGTCTCTTCAAGCCTTTCAGGTCCTTCCCCCACATGCCAACGCGGACTAGGTCAGGAGGGCAGCCTGCCATCGCCTACCCCCCTTCCTTACACACCCCTCCTGCTGGGATGGTTCCTTCCTACACTCAAGGCTGCCCTTCACCTGCTGTCACAGCCTTCACTCCTACACCATGCCCCCCCTCCATCCCCCAAACCCTCCACAGTCTCTTCCATTGCTCCCCACCTCCCCCATCCTTCCTCAGGTCTGGGCTGGTCCCTTCCATTTAAGTCACCCCCTCCCCTCCCCTTCTACTCAGTAGCCTCCCTGCCCCTTCTCTACAGCTCCATGCTTTGGGGTCATCTCCCTCTCCCGTCTGCCTGCTGTGGTTCCTTTTGTTTCTCTCCTCCTACCCCAATAGCATCCCTCCTCCTCCTGTCAGGGATGGTCTCTTCCAGCGCCCACGACCCCCACGATCGCTGGGGTAGCCTGTTCCTCCCTCCCAAACCACCAGCCTCTTCCTTCTGATGCGCCCCGCCTCTGGCCTATTAGATTCTTCCCCTCCACGGAACTCACTTCCCTCCCTCCACCTCGGAACAGCCTTTCCCTCGCCCCTGCCCGCCCACCGCCAAGCGGGTCCCTCCGCTAGCCACCGCCTCCCCGGGTCTGACGCCCGGGCTCCTACTGGTGCTCGACTCCCCCACGATGGCCACGCAGGCGTCCTTGCCGGCCTCGCAAGTCTTCATCTTCCCGCTGCACGTGGGCCCGGAGGCCCTGCCCACCTC